ACGATATGGCCAAAATGTATATCACGATATATTTCTTAATTTCGGTCGATACGATATAATTCCGATATCGATATGAACACTATTAAAAAAGCCTCATAAAAATGGCCAAGAACGGCCATGACAGATGTCTGTACCTACAAACTTATGAAAAATTAATTTGCCAACTCTGTGAAACCTACTCCTATAAAACTATATATTTTAGGACAAACATGGCGCAAATAAATGTTCACCTTTTATTGGTATTTAGCCTTCATACAAACAAGAAATGTGAAATCACTGTCAAATAAATCTCAGACTCTCCTTCTAGCACAATAAGGTACTGAAAGCAAAACAGTTGAGATGAGCAGTGTTTTTGTGGTAGTGGTAACGGATGTTGACTGCTGTTTACAGGCATGTTGGCTGACGTGTGTTTTAGAAACGGGTAGAGGACAGCAGCTTCACAGTCTGGAGGGGGAGAGCAGCACCTCTGAGTAACACACAAGAGGAACCTCCCTGTGATGACCACAGGGGGCGCTATTCATACAAGGCAGCACTTTTGCAGGCAGCTTCATGCACTGGTTTTGACCTTTGGAGAAGAACCTGTAACACAAAAGGCAGTAACCTCATTTTATGTAACTGATTACATATACAGTGGGTACGGAAAGTATTCAGACCCCCTTAAATTTTTCACTCTTTGTTATATTGCAGCCATTTGCTAAAATCATTTAAGTAAATTTTTTTCCTCATTAATGTACACACAGCACCCCATATTGACAGAAAAACACAGAATTGTTGACATTTTTGCAGATTTATTAAAAAAGAAAAACTGAAATATCACATGGTCCTAAGTATTCAGACCCTTTGCTCAGTATTTAGTAGAAGCACCCTTTTGAACTAATACAGCCATGAGTCTTTTTGGGAAAGAGGCAACAAGTTTTTCACACCTGGATTTGGGAATCCTCTGCCATTCCTCCTTGCAGAGCTCTAATATGCTGATCTGCTGCTCAAAAAAAAAAAATTCTCATGATTATCAATATTGAAAACAGTTGCTCTGTTTAATATTTTAGTGGATATATTTTTCAGGATTCCTTGGTAGAAAATTCAAACAAATGGCATTCATTTAAAACAGAAATATTTTGTAACATTACTTACTGACATATTTGAATCCTTGCTGAATAAAATAATTATTTCTTTCATTAATCTTACTGGCCCTAAACTTTTGAACGGTAGAATAAATGATGACAGAATTAAAATGTTTTTGTAAACTATCCCCTTCATGTATTTTTGCTTCTAAATAAATCATTGTTATACTAGTTAAAGATTGTCTGTTCAACAAGTTTTATGGTTCATTATTAATAAATTAAATGACATCCTGCATGTGATGTAAGCTCACCACTGTCCTCCTCTGAGATCTCTTCTTTCTCCTCACTAAACCCTGAACTGGCATTGCTCTGGCTGCTGGACACACTGGCCAATCGTCCTTTATATCCTTCCTTCATGTCTCCCTCCTCTTCTCTGTTCACCTGAGCCAGACACACAAACACACAACACATGAAATGAGCAGCATTCAGCGGGAACACATCTAGTGAATAATGCACATATCAGCATATCGCTGTGTGTTAAATAAAGGGTCGCCATATGTATCTCATACTTTAGCACTAGGCCCCACTGATCTTGGATCAGCACTCAATGAGTATCACAGAAACACAATGTTCTTTGTATGAAGCTTTTGTAGAGGTCATTCAACGAGGTAAGCAGCTGTAGAGATGGTCACACAGAGGGAAGTAAGACTCTGTTGTCTTGATTAACACTGGTCTGTTTATTTCAGAAGGAAATAAGAGAAGTCTATAAACTATAAACCTCCCAATACCACAAACCAACAGTTCCCAGCTTAAAATTCTGTGACATTCAAAAGACTTTCTGAGTGACATTCTGCACAACTAATAAAAGATTGTATTTTAGATATAGTTGATGACTGACTATAAAAAATTAACTGAAATGAAACTGTTGAAGTGAAATGTAGACAGACAGACAGACAGACAGACAGACAGACAGACAGATAGATAGATAGATAGATAGACTAACCCTATTCAACAGGAACACCTCTCGTTTGCTCTTAAGGTACGCAGACAGGTTGCCAAACTTACAGTATTCAACTATGACCATCAGAGGCCCTGAAAACGAACAAAAAAAACCCATATAAAATTAAAACATACAGAACAACACCCTTTCATGCTGTTCAAATGTTTTGATTTTTTAAAATATTTTTGAAAGAAGTCTCATGCTATTTGATCAAAAATACAGCAAAAACAGTAATATTGTGAAATATTGTTACAATTTAAATAGCTGTTTTCTATTTTTAAATATTCTAAAATGTTTTCATAATCATTACTCCAGTCTCCCACATCACATGATCTTTCAGAAATCATTCTAACATGCTGAAACACTTATGCTAACATTCAGAAACATTTCTTATTATTATCATTGTTGAAAAAAGCTGTGCTGAATAGAAAGTTTAAAAAATAGCATTAAAAAAAAATATAAATATAAATATTTTGTAACATTATAAATGTCTTTACTGTCACTTTTGATCAATTTAATGCATCCTTGCTGAATAAAAAGCATTCATTTCTTAAAAAAAAAAATCATGCTGACCACAAACTTTTGAATGGTAGTCTATATAAATACACATGGAGCAGCTGTAGAGATGGTCACACAGAGGGAAGTAGTTAGATAAAAGTAGTTTAGGTAACAGATAGTTACATAAAAGTAACTACCACTTTTATAGCTGGCATACAGTAAAACCAAACTTTGAGGGTTTACAGAGAAATTATGAGATGCAGACCTTTTTTGGTACATGCACCAAGAAGATTGACCACATTGAGGTGATGACCAATATGATTGAGGATCTTCAGTTCTGTCATCAGAGCCTTGTGTTCACTGGGCGTAGCGCCATCTGCAGGAACAAGACAGACATAACTCCTGACACTAAGTGATGCATATTTGCTAAATAGGCTTTTTATTACACAATAGGTATTTTTAAGGTCCTTGAGCAGTTTTAATGTTTAAAATCATACCTTTAAGCATTTTGACAGCCACTGTGGTGCAGCTGGCTGAATTGCGAATGCCGAAAGCTGAGGCCTGCATTACTCGCCCAAATGCCCCTCGCCCAAGGGGCTTTTCTGGAGAACAGGACAATAAAGAACATATCAGTATATCACATAACAGCATCAATACAACTTATAAAGCACATACACAATTTACCTAGTTTAAGGCGGTCACGTGGAAACTCCCATTGGGCAGGATCATACTGTAACCTGTCACAGTGCTCAACCAGAGGCTCCTCCCCTGGATGCAGGATGATTGGCAGGTACTCTGCTTTGCCATTAGTGGAGTTTGGCTGAGAATGACACACATAATATAGATATTTATTACATGGTACTGTAGTATAAGCAGATTTGATTGGCCTTCATACGTGTTGATTTGCTCTCACCTGTTTGAGTTTGCGAATCAGCAGTGTGAGAAGCAGCCAGAAGAGAGTGGCCACCACGCACGTACATGCTAGAGTTGGGATCTCCAGAGAAAGGGATTCAGATGAACCTATGGGATAAATAAATAAGTGTTGTCACATAATATGTGTCTTTAAAGAGAGAAATAAAAAGAGAGGGATCAATGGGACATATCCCGGATCACATTTGTCCTGAGCATGAGCATGACAGGTCATGAGTAATGCATTAGCCTCTATAGAAACAGCTAAACAAATGAACCTACATAGAAATAGGTAAACAGTTTAAGGGTTGAAAAGTCAAGGCCATCTGTGGGAAATGAAAATGGGAGACAGTTTCCTTCCTGATGTATCGGAAGAGAACAGCGTGAACGTCTCCTCTCAGCACCGTGTTTAGAAGCATCCGACAAGAGTAAATAAGGGACTGTGAGAAAAAAACGATGAGAGAGAAAGAAACAGGAACTAATACCAACATGAAACTATGTAAAAGGATTATTCATGCATACATTAAAAGTTTAAAAGTCTGGGGTCCAATGCATGAAGGCTGCATTAATTATTATTATTTTTTAAATATAGTCAAAACTGCATTATTGTGAAATATTATTATTACAATTTTAAAGTAACTGTTTCTATTTTAATGTATTTTAAAATATAATTTTCAGCAGCCATTACTTCAGTCTTCAGTGTCACATGATACAGTATTCATTCTAATATGCCGATTTGATGCGCAAGTAACATTTCTTATTGTTATCAATGTTGAGCACAGTTGTGCTGCTTAACATTTTTTTGTGGAAATGGTGATAAATTTTTTTTCCTGGATTCTTTGATGAATAGAAAGTCCAAAAGAACAGCGTTTATTTGAAATAGAATTTTTTGTAACAATGTTTTTACTGACACTTTCGAACTAATAAAATGTATCGCTGCAGAATAAAATAATAATAAAAATGTCTTACTGACCCCAATCTATACAGTAGTTCAAAGAAACCTGGGCTTCCATACCACCTCAGTAGTGCCACAAACTGATCACCTCCATGCCACGCCGAATTGAGGCAGTAATTAAAGCAAACGGAGCCTCTACCAAGTATTGAGTACATGTACAGTAAATGAACATACTTTCCAGAAGGCCAACAATTCACTAAAAATGTTTTTTTGTATTGGTCTTATGAAGTATTCTAATTGGTTGAGATAGTGAATTGGTGGGTTTTTGTTAAATGTGAGCCAAAATCATCACAATTAAAAGAACCAAAGACTTAAACTACTTCAGTCTGTGTGCATTGAATTTATTTAATACACGAGTTTCACAATGTGAGTTGAATTACTGAAATAAATGAACTTTTCCACGACATTCTAATTTATTGAGATGCACCTGTATGTAATATATTCACATACAGATACTTAAAATAAGTTATATTATTTCTCTCTTTGCTGTATAGATCAAAAAGTACACTTTCTAGTCTCACCAGACACCTGCTGCAGCTTCCTTTGGTCCTTATACCATGTTATCCGGGGGTGTGGAATTCCCCGAGCGGGGCAGTGGAGAGTGACCGAGTTGCTTATGTTAACACTGTGATCGCTCAGATTTCGCAACAGCACCGGTGCCTGCAGAACTGTACAGTGTGAGACAAAAAGGTCTCTGGTCAGGGGTCATTACGCATGATGTTTCACATCCACTGAAGCAGTTTAATCAAAAAGATCAAAAAACACCGCTAGGGAGACTGACGGAAATCACGGCAATCACGTGAGGCACTTAGCAATACACATCCGCCTTATAGAGCAGCTGAGTGATTTACGGGCGACGTGGTTTGCTATTGTTATAGAAGTGTGAATAGACTGCGAGTTGTATTTCTTTCATTGCAGATTGAGGCCTGGAATGTTTGAATTGCAGCCACTGGATTTGTGCCATTCAGCAAAATCCCTCTGTTTGTCTTAATGACACATTCAGCATTTCATGGACTCAGCTGATATTTCCGGCTTAGCCAGCCAAGGATGCCTACAGTTGCTTAGGCTGTTGAAAGTTTTACAATGTAGCGTCACATTTATGTAGAATAATATAAGAGAATCACAGGTTAATTTGTGTGGAATAAACTTACTTTGCATAAAAAACAATAAAAAACAATAAAAAAACCAAGGGGTCCGTCATATGAAGAACCATTACATAAACTCTAGTAAAAGAGGAGACTGAATTCTGCTTCAGATATTTTGGACACAATTGATTATTGTCCCTTTCCTCGTTCTGTGACAGTGGCTGATTGGCTGATTGTTCTTTGGCCATGTGAAGCAGTCTGTAAATGTGGCATAGAGGGAAGTGCCATTGTGTGCTCTTCCTCCTGACTAGATCTCATTCCCACACCAAAGAGGTTCTGCTACACAGCCTTGGAGAGAAGGGCTACAGGAAGATTCGAGACCCAGTTCCCAAGGACCCCTTTCACTCTGTCTTTCTCCCTCTCTTTTTGCTTCTCTTTCCGCCTCTGTCTCTAAACGTGTGGGTGTCTGCAAGCACATCCTTACATGACTTAAAATACGTATCTAAGAGAAGTCCGATGACTTCTGGCTGTGGTTGCTTCTGTGTTCTTCTGACCTGCAATATACTGGTATTTCTGATCTGCTTGCATTTCTAAGCATATGACCATGAATCCTGTTTTTTTTTAAGAATTAGACACAAATCCCTTGTTTTTGAGCCTTATCAGATATGTTTAAAACTAGCAAACTATAATTTTTTATGAATTAGCCAGTTATTTTAAAATTTTGTACAATTTTTATTGACCATAAATGTGTCCCACATTTTGCATACAAACCTGTTACCATATGATTTCTCCCAATTACAAAAATGTTTTAACTGTGATACCCAAGCAGTAACATAATTTGAGCTAATAAGTGTTGACTTAATTTGTCAAGCTCAGTAAACCCTGTTACTGTAGGATACTGTAAGAGAAATATTAAAATATTTGTATTACCTAATGGGAAATATAAATTTATCAGTAACTACTATTGGATGTCTTAAAACTGTTGTTTAATAATATTTATAATAATTACATTTTAAGAGTTTCAGACCCTATTTCGTACCCCATCAAAGTGCCAAAGATCACTCGCTTCTTTGTCTTTTTGAAACAGTTTGATTTTCTTGTTGATGCTGAGAAACACTGATGCCAAAGCTGTTGTGGCACATCCTGGCCTATAAGTATGTGCATGAACAAAAAATAGATTATACATATTATATATAGACTGCTATTATGGTACTTTTTGTAACTTTTTTAGGGTTTGTCCGTATTTAATTCTATGGAAAAGAGCAGCCAGGATTTTCGCTAAATATCCATATTGTGTTCCATGCAACAAAGAAAGTCATACAGGTCTGGAACAACAAAAGGGTGAGTAAATGATGACAGAATGTTCATGTTTGAATAAACAATCCCTTTAAGGAAGCATGAATGTATGTGTGTGTTGAGCACAATGACTCTTAAAGACACACCTGTGATCTCCACTGCTGTATCTAGGTGTGTATGTTCTCCTGTAAGCAGGTGTGTGGCGGAACAGCGGTATGTTCCCGAATCCTGTGAGGTCACATTCTTCAGCAGAAGGTACAGTGTGTGAGAGAACTGCCCTTCTGTGAGCTCCCCGCCGAGAACTGAAGCTCCCTCTGATGTTGTGGGTTGATTTGTTAATCTATACCATGACAGGTCTGAATAGAGGTGCCTATTGGCTATACAGACCAGACGAAGGTCCTCTCCTTCTCTGGGTTCTTCCTCCAAAGATACGATAAGGCCTCCTTTGACATCTGTGATGGTGGACAAAATAAGTTTCAGTTTCCACTTCCTGTGCATAAATCCTCGATACAGTGAGACAGAATGCATGCAGACCTCCTGGCAACAACAAAACAGCATAGAGAAACCAGTTTGGAGTGTTGATCAAGCAGCATTTTTGTAACCTTTGATGACAATGTTGAATAGCCATTGTCAGTACATGTAGCAATAAGACATTAGTGTAAAGGCGCGCTATTTACTTTAGCTATTTGAAATTTCCTGTGGAAACCGCTCGAGGGTTTCCTGATGGAAGATAATGTTTATCTTTCCCGAACACCACCAGTGTTCTCCAAATAATGTACTGCACGAGGAGGCAGTATGATAAGAGCCACAGGTTCCTGTTCATGCCTCTACCCTGTCGCTATGACAACAGCCAGGATGGGCTCCATCCACTGTGGCCGAAATTAGCACAGCTTGAAAGCAAACCCTCGAAAACAAGGGTACGGAGGAGGGCGGGATTAGAGGAAGAATGGGAAGGAGTGAGAGAGAGGGAGTATGAGAGAAAAAGATATATATGGAGAACGTAGTAAAATATGTGGATGTTGAGCTTTACGCATCTTTTAAAATTGAGTTATATATGCAAAGTACCTGTGACATAGAAATGGATGTCTAGTTCATCTCTGCCCATTAAGTTTGATGCAACACAGCGATATAGGCCAGATATAAATGCTTTGCCAACTGTCAGAACTCCTACAGTCTGTGGAAACAAAGCAAAGCATGCAAAGATGCAGACAAACACCCCTTTTACGCATTATGTGATTTCCTCAAGTAGGACATGTTCCTGCATTAACCTCCATTGTTTGTCCAGGAACTACATTCTCATTAAGCAATGATAGCTATAACACAATCCCTACTCAAACCCTAACTTTAATTGATAAGAATGTTACTCAAACCCCTAACTCAAGTCCTATGCACAAACCCATAATCAGTTTTGGTTAATAATAATGTTGTTCCAAGACCAACCATGACCAGTGATGTTGATCCAGGGATATGTTGGGTAAATTGTACATTTTTCTGAAAACCCAAAGCTCACACAAGGTAATAACATTTCACATTACCTCTAGCCACAAAATGAGTCAGTTTAGGAGGGACCAAAATTTTGCCACATAGGTTGACAACCAAGAAATGGTTTCAGTTTTATTACTTGCCATTGAATTCTGTTCCCCAAATGTTTCTTATAGAAGGAGGTTCTAATATTTATTAAACTGATAATGGTTAAGATCCATCCCCAAACGGGAGCCAGCTGGATTGCTCGCCATTCTGTTCCCTCCATGCTTCTTATACAAGGAGGTTTTAATAGTTATCAAACTGATACTGTTTAAGATCCATTGTCAATCGGGATAGAATCAACCATTTTAAGCCACTACATCATGTCTCCTCATGGTGGTGGGGGAACGGATTCTAACAGCGTGATTGCTCGCCGTCAGATTCTGTTCCCCCCATGTTTCTTATAGAACGAGGTTCTAATATTTATCAAACTGATATTGGTTAATATCCATCCTCAAATGGCATATAATCTACATGCCACTCCACAGGGCTGGGGGAACAGATTCTGATACCCGGATTGCTTGCCGTCAGATTCTTTCCCCCCTTTTCTGATAAGAGGTTTTAATATTTACCAAACTGATACTGGTTAAGACCCATTCCCATACGGAATAGAATCCACAACTTTTAAGCCACTACATCAACATGCCTCTCCACAGGGATGGGGAAACGGACAGCGGGATTGCTCGCCTTTGGATTCTGTTCCCTCCATGTTTCTTATAGAAGGAGGTTCTAATATTTACCAAACTGATACTGAGACTGATTATTTTTTAGTTGATTAATTACTTACCAACTTATTTTTATTGTTATTCGTTATTGTTGTTCCAGCACCAACAAAGATGGTGATTCAGGTATATATGGGGGATGGAGATGGAGTATTCTTGTAATAAATCATTTAATGTTGTTCCAGTAATCAGAGAGGAAGGACACCTGTTTAACTACCCACAGAACTAACTAGATCTGGAACTTGATTGCTGTTATCTAAAACCATTTGGTGGAGCACATAATTCCACAGAACTGCGCGCAGGCATTCGTGTGAATCCCGGGGGAGTACTTTTGCGTTCTTGTGTGCCCTCTTGTGTATTCATTTCATCTGTCCCCTATGATCAGTCCACCCACTCGAACACTCACCTTATTCTTCCCTTCTAACACTTCCTGTCTGTGGCTGACGGTCAGGATGGGATTGTGGGTGGACGTGACTTCTGTCTTCTCGCTGACTGCAGTCCAGGACGAAGGAGGAGGCTTCTCGCATCTTAGAGAGAGGAAAACAGAGGACGAGAAAGAGGAAGAGAGAATGACGGCACTCTCAGTTCGCAGGTGTCGAAGCAGTGATGTCACAAGACACAGATGTGTAGTGTAGCTGCGGTCCGAAAGGGGAAGACTTATCTTCCGATCACTGGTCTCTTGGGAATTCATTTTTCACTATAGTCATCTTATGGAATTGTTTCTTTGGAATCCATTTTCAGTGTGTGTGTGTGTGTGTGTGTCATCTGTGTCAGGATACAGTGACACTCGTTGGAGTATTCCATAATTAGCAGTGTGTGGGTATTGGATGTGTTCCCTTTCCTGCCTGTAAATCATCCCAGCCATGCTTCCGAAGTTCCAACCTCTCATCCATTTTGCACACCACCTTCTAGGCATTTATCCCATTATCTTATCCATGCCAGTTCTTTAAGGTCTCTAATCTTTGGAGCAAGGTTCTGATGGGCCATGATGATGGGTATTTGTCAGTGACTGTGTGCCCACCGCCCTGTTACCCCTCCCTACATGGCTTTGACGACTCTCTCTGATTGCTCTTCCTATTTGGCTGGGACAGTGAGTGTTCTGTCCTCATATGTCCCACCCTGATCATGACAACAGCACTTCTCAAACACAGTCCACTCTCCCACGGTTCTCCAGGAACAGTCGCTCACTCGTTCTCTCATACACACACGCACCCACACAGAGTGAGAGAGACAGAGACTTCAAATGCCCATTTGTTTTACCACAAACATCCCCACTCATTCTGCATTCACACCTTCATCCATACCTGGTGTGCCTGCGTACAGTATTACGAACTGACTTCAGTGGGTCATTATGAAATCTACTCTGTTTTATTGTCTAGAAAAGCATCAATCAAGAAACAGTTTATTATAGTCGGACAATATTTCAGCAGCTAGGACTTCACATATGCATTTTTCTGGAAACCAAACAGACCATGTTGTACAAATAATTTCAATCAAATTTAATGTAAAAACAAATACATTTGATATAAACATACATTAGATATTAAAAATACATTTTTATCAGCGTTCTTACACATTTGGCAATTATTGAGATTTACCATAAGTAAGTTAGTTGTATAAAATTATTAAATATTAGAATCATATATTACTCATAGACAATCTGTATAAAAAGGGACGAATCACATTGGGAGAGACCCGTAGAGTAGAAACAAACACACAAATACTCACTCAACACACACAAACACTTGCATACAAACAGGCAGGATCTTTTCTTTCAGCACAAAATAAAGCAACTGTAATACACAGCATCACTGTGAAGTGGAAGAGTTTGACATAAGATGACACATAGGATGACACAGAGCTCTTGTCATTCATTTATGGCCCATCAGAACTCCTACACAGCAGGCATTCTGGGCTAGGTCCAGTCTGGAAAAAACAAAAACGAGAAATCCAAATAGTGAGCCTCGGTTTTCTCTGCCCTCCTTGGCTCACGTCAAGATAGTAGATAGAGGATATTTTCATTGTGTACAATCTGAACTCACAGCTTTTGTGGATGTTAGAACTACAACTGATGGTCTGGGCTTTGGAGATGGAGGCTTGGTTCATACATCCTTTATAGTACCACTCAAGAACACGAAAAGCAAAGCAGCACCAGGCAGTTTATGGATGGGGATCATGCTCAGAAAGAGGAAGAGCAGAAAAAAACTGTCTCTGAACAACAACAACAAAAATGAGGAATAAATTAGAATGTAGTTCCAAGGGTGCAGAGATATCAGCCTCTCTGTCCTGTGTGAGCCCAGCTGTTCTGGATCCTCGTGAGATGGCTTGCTTTTAGTGACGTCTCTGGGGTGGCTGGATAAGGAAGAGCACTGGCAGTTGTATTTGTGAGTGTGGCAGGACAGGTGAGGTGGATTGTGGGGGATCGGTAAAGAGGGGTGGAGGGTGTGTGTGTGGGATTAGGGACTCTCAAGAATAGATCAAGCTCCTGAGGAAGTGGACTGTGCCACGTTTGAAGACGCAGGGACAATCACGCTGCTGGGAAGTTGTCTCGCGTCGGGGAGGAAGCCAAACAACAAGAGGAAAAGCGCTCTGATTTTTCGCACAGGAAGCCCGTCTGCGCCTCCTGCCTGGCTGAGATAAGAGTGCTGCTGTTCCCATGGCCGAGCTCAAGCCCATCCAGCCGCTATCAGGCCGGCCCGGCCCACAACTCCACTCTCCCTGGGCCTCCTCCACCGCAGCATCAGGCCAGCCGCGCCGGGCTGCTATAAAGAATAAGGGCCTGAGTCAGGGTCCAGCCAGTCAAGACCTCTCAACAGAACGTACATACAATACCTTTCAACGAACAAGCTTTACACAGTGCTTTCATTTTTTATTTTTTTTTAATCATATATAGCTTTTGAACTTTAATTGCTGCAATAACGAGTATCTCAGCAAAATCAACATGCAAATGATAAAAGAAATTATATCAGTTTGGCAAACCCAGATAGAATCTACAGGCATTTTTTGCACCCATTTTAGTTTTAAAAACTTCCCCAGAATGAATTTAAACAAGGTAATATGTGTTAAAATAAGTATTCTAGATACATATTGCTAACTGAAAGCATAAATAATTGTGCTTTTATTTGTTAATGACGAGCGTTACATTTCCAAGGAAATTTGTTGCTGTAGATTCCATGTGGGTCTGCAAATAGAACGCCAAAGCATTTCTTAAAGGGATAGTTCATCCAAAAATGGTGTTCCAAACTACTTTGCAGGGTTATTATCATTAACTAAATAATAAATGGCTAATGGCTAAAACCATTAAAAAATGACATGAAAAAAAAAACATTAACTGAAATAAAATAAAATACAAAAAACTTAATCTCATTTTATTTGAACTAGTTTCCATGGCAATTTTTCTAATTTTTGTCTTGTTTAAACTGAAGCACCAAAATAACTAAAACTTAATAAGACTATATAGACAATAAACAAACAAACAAACAAAAAAAATAACTAAAACTTTCAAAGTAAACTAAAAATAGCAAATATGTAAATAAAATGTAATTCAAAATATTAACAGACATTTAAATAGTGTATCAATGATACAAAAATAAACCCTGTCTCTATGAATTTCTTTCTTCTGCAGAACTCAAAATACGCTATTTTAAAGAATGTTTCCATTGCTTTTGTCCATGGATCCAAATATTATTAATATTAAGTGAATGATAAAATAACTTTTTGGATCAACTGTCACTTTAATATTGCATGAAGGATAGCTGGCACATACAGGGATTTTGTTGCATTATTCCAGCCAACAAGACTTTTCCTCTCAGTAATATTTCATTTTTAGTTCTTTTAGGAAGCACTCAAAGAATAGGCCAAGAAAATATAATCAATATAACATGTCACGGTGGCAGTACAATAAGGGGAAGCATGACCTAAAAAAGGACTAATTTGGAGTAGAAATGGCAGTGTCATACTGTAGCATAACTCTTTCAGGGTTTGTGGATTTCATAAAAAAAATCTCAGTGTGTCTATATGGGAGTAAGTCATGAATGTATGTGGAAAGGTGTTTCTGTGAGATGATCTCCTCTGAGTAATGCTTGCTAAATGTTTCTCATGAGAATGGTGGATATGTGGTGTGTCAGACATTGAAGAAGGCATGGCAGGATGCGTCTGAGCAATCACAATAATAAACATCCAGCATTCTGCACAGGAAGTTAGTTAATTCATAGTGTTTGATTTAGAAACGAACAAATCGTGCTTGTAAGCACGGAACTGGCTTCTTTTGAAGTGCTTTTTTCTGCACTTTCAACTCGGGAGTTAAATTCAGTTCTGTGACTGTACCAGGCACACATTCACACAAATACGAACACATACACACGAGCGTCTGCATCCACACAAAAATGAATAGAGACACACAGATGAAAGGCCTTCTCAAGCATCTGTTCTACAGTCTAAGAGGAAACCCTGTCTGAACACATGCTGAATTAGACAAAACAGGTCTCTATTCACAAACACACACACATACACATACATACATATGTGTGTGTGTGTATGTCTGTAAATATAGACACATGTCTCCACTCATATGTGCATTCATTCTAAAAAAAGCACATCAAACACACTGTGACCAGGTACAGTGTGAAATAACTGAACTCTTTAAAGTGGTTTCAGGACATTACGCAATGATGGAGAGGATATCTAACTTAGTCTAGTGTGGGAAATCCAAACCTAGCAAAATTGCATTGTCTTGCATGTGTTTTATCACCTGGATCAAATACTAAATTAAAAGTGACTGAATTTTTGGCCTTAAGCCAGTATTCTTCACCATATCCCTTTCCTCCGTGACTAAAGTGTAATGAGGACACGATTAGTCAGTCATTGGGGAAATGTTTTCAAATTTAAAAATGCTTGTAATGCTTTCACTTTTTAAAAGATGATAGTGGGAAATAAAATGAGATTTTAGAGAGCTTGCAGAGGCCTGAATAAAACAAGGGGACCATAACCTTCCTAAAACAGGGTCTATGATAATAACTATTGTTATGCGAGTAGGCTACTTTGGCTCACAATAATAAGGTTATGTATTTGATTGGCATTTCAATGTGCATTCACCAATGCCTTGTTTCATATTGGACAAACATTTGTGTGTTTCTGGGTGGATAGTGAACTTACAGGCCTTTTGGAGGGCACGGATGCCAGAGCCACTGGATTTGAGGTGGTGGGACACCGTGAGAGGTGCAATGCAGGGCTTGTCTGCTGCCTCGCTGGACAGTCCCAGGTTGCCGAGAGGAAACAGTCTTTTCTCCAATCTGTGGCTTCACTGTGAACAGATTTTGACGAAACAGAAAAAGCAATGAGGGCACAATGTCATAGTCTCCATATAATAATAATAATAATAATTTATTTTTTTTACATAAAATTTTAAAACAGGATTTTTTAATGCAATTATAGTTTGTTCAACAAATAATTTTTAATCGTTTGGCTCATTTGCAAACCTGTTTTGTTGTAAAATAGTTCTATAACATTAAAAGATAAAAACTCTTTATGCTAAGTCTCACCATTTACCACCAATGTGAGTGTGAGGTTCTGGAAAAGTCCATACTGCTGGATGCCAGTAAGGATGGTATAGATTCCTGCATCCTCTTCAGCAACATCCCGAATGACCAGAGAAAACCTGTCTACATGGTAACGGGAGCACTGTTCGGCAGCAACCATCCCATCCTTCAACCTAAGCAACAGATTCAGTTATTGAGATTTGATCTGTTTGCCAAATATGTTGTTTCTGTTCACTTTAATGAACATTTGCAAACAAATTACATCTATTTAGCACCTCAACTATATAATCATAGGAAATTTTACCAGATGACTTCAGGTGCAGGGAAAGCCCTTAGTTTTGGAGTAAGACGGAAAGATTTCTGTCCTGCAGAAGCCTGAACCACAGGGCCATCTCTGTGCTTGAGTTGAATGAAAGGCTGGTCTGGGAAAAAAACAGACAAGAGAGTAAGACGATCAGAAAAAACACGTGCGGACAACCGAGAGATAAAAAGCTGTACATAGTGAATTAGAATCCATTAGAGGAGGAAAAACACTTTTGCAATGTTTGTGAAAAACACAAACATTGCAGCAGTTTGCCACAGTGTCTGAAATGTACTATTGTTTCAGAGCAAATTTTAACCCAGCAACAATGGGACTGATTTTAAAACTCACTATAGACAATAACTGTGGTATTTGTTTCTCTCTTGGATGGACCACTTGTTACATGACATTTGTAAAGTCCTCTGTCTGCTTTGCTCAGTCTGGGGATGGTAAGAACACTGTAGAACAGCATGTTGGTTCTGCTCCTTGATATGCGTCTGATGATAGTGGCAGATCCATTAGCCTGAAGTATAAACAAGCAGAGCAAATTGTGTCACAAACACTCATTTTGGTCCATCAAGAAAAAATATAAACAACATGGCTTTCAGAGGAAATGAGGGCTACAGAACAGCTGTCCATTCAATTGCCATTGAAAACACTTAATTATAAAAGGGAATGTCTGTAAAACAATGCCTCCATAGTGCACTGCAATTTCACTGTAATTAAGCTGAAATTTTAAATTACTCTAGTTGCCACAAAGTAAAATGTGAGTTTGCTGTTTTATAGGCTATTCAGGAGGCTAAATAGAGTAAGTTATGATGTTCCACTTTAGTATCACAGTAATATAAAAATTAAAATAGAAGAAAATTAGACATATTGAGAGATTTACACACACACATACACACACACACACACACACATACACACACACACATTACATTTCTATAAAGTTATGATGTTCCACTTTAGTATCACAGTAATATAAAAATTAAAATAGAAGAAAATTAGACATATTGAGAGATTTACACACACACATACACACACACACACACACATTACATTTCTATTAAATATTAATAGAATCGTTTTGATGGCAGACTTTGATATATTAGCAATTCTGAGCACTATTTGTGACTCTTGAGATTTGTTCTGAAACTCTAGTCTTTTTCTCTGTGATGCAGGAGACTTAAGGAGACTTAAGCAAAAGTCTCCATTTGCTCTCGATGAGATACTAAACAAGCTAATTCATGATTTTCTTTCTAATTGTGTTTGTTGTGGAACTAATACATTTAGTAGTAATGCATCAAGATGAGTTAATTCATCTGAAAAATCCATGTCCAGCTCTAAACTGATTTCACAACAGAAGCTCGTTGATTCTGATTACACCAACTGAATGAAGATTTTAGAAATGGCAGTTCATAAATCACAAATGGATACTGTGTAAACCCCACCTTTTGAGGGTATGTCCAGCTAATGGACACCCTGGCGTTCCATTCAGCTGTAACGGTGCAGTTCAGTGCTAACATCTGGCCCTGTAACGTGTGGACCAATCCCGTGCTGTTCAAATACACATCCAGGATTTTATTCACTGCGAAAAGAAGGAAATGGATGCAATTTTTGAAACTCAAATTTAGGCCCCAGTTTTTGGTTCACCAATAAGTTAATCAAAGAAACCATTAGCGCTTACCTGGCCTGTGAGTCAAGAACCTGTTGCTATATTTGACTCCATTGACAATAGTTTCACAGGAAAATAGCCCGATGTAGAAGAATGTGGGACTACGGATAGTGAAACCTTGCCTGCTGTTCCAGATGATGTTTCTATAATCAGGAGCTATGAAAGGATACTGAAAATGTAAGAAAAAAGGCTAATTAAAAAACATTAGCAGTCACACCACAAGCTTTTGCATTTCTTTTAGGTACAACAGAGATTTTTGCTTTCACTTTGTAAGGCTCTAAAAGATTTCCATTTGCGTGTATTTTAAAAACAAACTTGCACTTTCAGTTTAAACCTCATTTGGCCAGCGCACATAAGGACTCTAAGGGGTTCAACAGTGCACCGTCCTTCAGAAATTCTTGGAGAGTGGTGTTATGATTTTGTTTACTTCCATATTCAATGGAGGAAATGTTTACAGGCTTAGATGTGACACTGTGGAAGTGTCCTGCCCTTTCTCAGGGGATCAGGTGAATGCTTGCCTCCCAGTGTGAGCTGCTCAAAATCTCCTGGTTTCTATGAAGCACAACTGTATTAGGTAAGGCATTAGATAAGCCCTTTACCTTACTTGAGAGTGTTTCTTTAAGTATGGGCACTTTTGGCCTTGTGGACTTAAAATAAACTCCTTTTAAGCACATTTTCCAATAACAATGATTAACAGTAAACATACAATTCTGTATTGTAAGCCCCCTCCTTTGACAAGCGCAGTCTGCTCTGATTGGCCAGCTGACCCAGTGCATTGTGATTGGCCGAACACCACAAGCGCACGTCGGAAATGTAACGCCCCTTACCATAATCGCGAGCTTCAGCTTTCAAAGGAAATATCAAGACTAATGTCGTTAATAATAATAATGTCAAGTTAATAATGTCGTTAGTTTTACCATCAGTTCAAGCCCGAAAGGGCAACAGAGTCGCGTATTGTTTTCTTTAATTGAAATAAAGCTGAAATAAAATAAAATAAAACAAAATATAACTATTAGATTTTTTTTTTATTAAAAAAAAAGAAGAAAATTCACCTTGGCAACTAAATGTAATGGGTTTAAGTTGAAGTACTAAAATTACTGAAACTAAAACTGAAATAAAAATAAAGTTAAATAGTTATTTTAAAAAAAATGACAAAAGCACATTAAATAACTTAAACTAAAATTAAAATGAAAACTGCAAATATAAAATCAAAAGCAAATTCAAAATAATAGTATATAAAATACACATAAGTGGTATGTAATAATACTGCTAGATAGCAATTTCCAATTTCAGCCAAAATTACTGGGCGAACATCACGTAATTGAATTACTATTTATAAACACTTGTAAAGCTCTAAAAGATTGTGCCCCCCTCTCACCTTTACCAACTAATCCCACCAAGTCTTCAAGTCTTAGGTAACCAACTTCTCGTTAACATCCCTCCCTATGTTCAATGTGTAAGAGGGGAGGGCGAGGATGTGGAAACATGACTCCAGTCCATCTCCTCACATTCTGTTACTACAGGATATAGACATCGTGGCTAGGCCCTCAGGTCAGCTTCTGGAAGGGTCCCGCGGCTACTTTCACAGCTTCAGTGAGAGCCTATGTATTGTGACAGTCCAATTTTGAGAAGGGTGGAGAGAGCTCGTATTTATAGCACATTTACCTTTTGAATATCTGTGCGCAGGGTCGGCAGGACATAAACAAAGCAAACAGAAATGAAATGTGGTGCTTTTTTGAGCAAGGAGGGAGGATAGGGATGTCATATCGCTAGCATATCCTAAAACAGTTTCCATCCTGCATGCAAGGAGCCAAAGGCAGCGCGACGGGAACTGGTCAACTTGTTCTTTTCCGTTTCCTCTTCTCATCTGAAATTCATCCTGAAATGCTTAAGTTCTTTTTTAAACCCTCTCCAGACTTTTGTTACCGTATTTGGACTCAACCTGTGTCTCCAGAGATGTAGTAGTGTATCTAATCATATCACAAATGCACAGCAAGCCAGCTGAGCCATCTCAGCTTCATTCCTCAAATCACTGTCCTTGCCATCAGCTGTGGAAGGCATCAGTCTGCGTGAGGTGGTCTCGGCGCCATCTCCTTTGCTTTGTGCAGTGCCAACAAGAAAAGGAAGCTGTGGGCGCCACTCACTCTGAGCATCAGCTTAAACTATCCATGTCATGCTGAGCCAAAAAAACTACTGTATATCCTCTCCACATGCCCTCACGAACACACATATATCCGAACTGGCACAAAGAGGTACACACTTGACCTTATAACCCGGAGTGATTGTGAGATAAAGACAGGGAGAGTGACTTATTTGTGAATGAGTGCGATGAGAGGATGCACTCCATGTATGGCAGTGGAAGCCATAGATAATAGCAATGGGCACGAATACCTGAGTACAGAAGTACTTGACACTAATGATAGATCGTTTTGTGATTATTTGCAATAACGATTCATCACACGTCAACTTGCTCTAACATCACACAAACGCGACTTTTAGTCCAGTGGAGCAACAGTATTAAAACACTGAGAAAGCACACACACCGCAATGTGTTTACTGTAGCGAGTGTGTATGTGCACACACTCTGCATTTACTGAAAAGACCGCATGCACACACATAAATGCACATTATTCCCTTCAAACAGCCAAACGGAGCTGAATGGAACAGAATGCAGCATCTTTGGAGAGGCTCATAAAATAGCGATTTTAACGCTATTAAAACGTGATGTAAGTAAAGAACATCAGTCAAGCCAGAGGCTATGAAAATAGTAATGCACGCTTTTTAAAATAATCACGAGCTGCGTCACAAATGACACAATATACACTCCCTGCGTTCCATTCGGAAGGGCTCATCCCTATGCCTAAATCCCTTCAAAGGGTTTACCCTCCGGTGTGAGAGCTTCGAAGGGTTAAAGGGTGTAGGGGACCAAACAACTGTTTCTTGAAGTGCCCTTCTGCGTCATCATCACGTGCCCACACGGAGGCGCCGTCATCATGCAAAGAATCTGCGCAAAGGAGCATGGGAGCCCAAAGTGTCCCTCAATTGTACCCTTCGAAATCCTTCATTCCGAAGGGCCCTTTGAAGTGAACAGTTTTGAGCACTTCGGTTTGGAACGACCCTTCAATATGGCGGCCATGATTGTTTTCACTCTGAAGTTTATCCTGTTTGGAACGCACTGTCTATGTACTTAAGCACTTTGTACTCAATTGTGTATTATATAATGGTTATTTTGTCATTCATAATCATAGTCTGATAGCTCCTCCCAATCCGCTATGTAATTAAAGCTGCAACAGTTGAGTGCATGAAGTGTCATTCCACACTTAGTTTTTTCCCATTATTTAAGTGCATCATCTGGGTGTTTAAACTGCACTTTTTCTGTTTGGAATTTTCAGTGGGAACACACTATTCGCACTAGAACAGCATAGAATAGTGCATAAGTACACAAATTGAGACACACCTACGGTAATCAGAATGAAGTGCAGAAAGATGTGGTTTATGAGGGGGTTTATTTGAGTTCATTGTAGTGTTCACATAATGATGAAACATAATATTTTAAGTTTAGAGTTCACCGTTTTTATATTTTTATAACAGAGAGACGTTAAAACAAAATTCTGTTGAACACTCAAACAAACAAAATTAATAAAATGCTCATCCTTAGAGTTTGTCCCAAAACAACCAGACAAAGCATGGTAAAGCACCACCCCTTTCGAAATAATAGAGCTAGTTCTCTGGATGGCCCCGCCCATTGTCAAAATCTCATTGGTCCTTAATCCTGCATATTAAACATCAAACATATTCTGGATGGCTGTGATTATTTAACATTATATGTTCATTGCGGACAGATAAATGAAAAGCCTGCATTTATGAGATAACTAAAAAGGCCAAGACGATTGACAATGTGTTCTAACCAGAAAATTCATGAAAGCTATTTTCCAAATAAATAAGTTTTGTTCTAAACAGCAATGAGTTTCTAGTTCTCTGAATGGCCCCGCCCACTGGTTTCATTGGTCTATAATCCTGCATATTAAATATCAAACCTGTTCTGATTGGCTGAGACTGTTTCACATGTTGTGCTCAGTGCTGAGAAACAGATTACTTGTCCCTGGACAGAGGGAAAGCTGTTGTATGAAATGATCTGTTTGACTCACAGTTGAGACACTCACCTTGACCAACGAAACATTGGCACCCGGGTTTGTGACTCTGCAGGGGAAGACCAACAGCTCTCCCTCCTTCATGTACACCACATCTGGGATCTCCGACTGCACCTTTACAAACGGCCGCTGGCTATCTGAAACGCCAATGCTGAGGTCAGGAACAAACAGACACCACATAAAAACAATCTAGAGTCAGCAACAAATATAGAGAGAATGCTTGCTTGTTATCAAACGCTCTCGCTCTCTGTTGCTTTCTTGGTTGCACTTTCGCCCCAGTTGCAATATTCTTGTGGCAATGAAAGACTTTGGGTGTAGCTCGCCCCATTGTTCGGTGCTCTGGTGTTATTAAAGGAACAGAAAATAATCTCTGAACATTTTAACAAAAGTACCCCAAGGACTGCTGGATGCTTCCTTGTCGTGCTTTGATTCAATATAAAGGACGAAGGGTGAGGCTAAATGGACATGGCCACAAGAGCGATTGATGGTCCTCAGGGGCCTTGTTGGCTAACCGGGGCTGCACCAAGTGACCTGGGGCACCTCTTAGCCTTCCTTAATGCCTGACCAGGGAGGATCCGAGCCGCTTCTGCCCCGCCATGCCCTCAAGGTGCCCACTCCCATGTACAGACATGCATCCCAACAAATATACACAAGAGACATCGCATCCTCTACCCTTGTCTCCAAGTTGTCCCTCCCCCCCAGAGCAGCACAGGATATGGACGGCTGGGCTGAGGGACATAGATAAGGCCGGGTACCCTGGGAAAGGCTGCCCAAGAGCTGAGCCTGAAAGCTATTTTCCAAATAAATAAGTTTTGTTCTAAACAGCAATGAGTTTCTAGTTCTCTGAATGGCCCCGCCCACTGGTTTCATTGGTCTATAATCCTGCATATTAAATATCAAACCTGTTCTGATTGGCTGAGACTGTTTCACATGTTGTGCTCAGTGCTGAGAAACAGATTACTTGTCCCTGGACAGAGGGAAAGCTGTTGTATGAAATGATCTGTTTGACTCACAGTTGAGACACTCACCTTGACCAACGAAACATTGGCACCCGGGTTTGTGACTCTGCAGGGGAAGACCAACAGCTCTCCCTCCTTCATGTACACCACATCTGGGATCTCCGACTGCACCTTTACAAACGGCCGCTGGCTATCTGAAACGCCAATGCTGAGGTCAGGAACAAACAGACACCGCATAAAAACAATCTAGAGTCAGCAACAAATATAGAGAGAATGCTTGCTTGTTATCAAACGCTCTCGCTCTCTGTTGCTTTCTTGGTTGCACTTTCTCCCCAGTTGCAATATTCTTGTGGCAATGAAAGACTTTGGGTGTAGCTCGCCCCATTGTTCGGTGCTCTGGTGTTATTAAAGGAACAGAAAATAATCTCTGAACATTTTAACAAAAGTACCCCAAGGACTGCTGGATGCTTCCTTGTCGTGCTTTGATTCAATATAAAGGACGAAGGGTGAGGCTAAATGGACATGGCCACAAGAGCGATTGATGGTCCTCAGGGGCCTTGTTGGCTAACCGGGGCTGCACCAAGTGACCTGGGGCACCTCTTAGCCTTCCTTAATGCCTGACCAGGGAGGATCCGAGCCGCTTCTGCCCCGCCATGCCCTCAAGGTGCCCACTCCCATGTACAGACATGCATCCCAACAAATATACACAAGAGACATCGCATCCTCTACCCTTGTCTCCAAGTTGTCCCTCCCCCCCAGAGCAGCACAGGATATGGACGGCTGGGCTGAGGGACATAGATAAGGCCGGGTACCCTGGGAAAGGCTGCCCAAGAGCTGAGCCATTCAACAGCTGGGGCTATTTCTGTCCCATCGAGGTAGCACGTAAATGAAAGTTACTGTTTAAATTTAGTCAAAAGTGAGAGAGGACAGCCTACGGTGTGAGCAAAAACCAAAAATGTCTGTGCAAAACCGTGCCAGATGCTCACTTAGTCGGATGTGTTGCCTCGAGAGAAAAATGGTGTTTAGGTATTATTTGCTTCCTGAGACTTCCTGTTTAGCCTTAAGCAACAGAAATGGTCAGTGAGATGACCAAGCTATTAAACAGAGTCCAGTGTCCTCACAAATCGGGTCCTCCCTGGAAATCGGGTCTCCGCTAGGACCTCAAGCGATTCCAGCTTTGAATGGGTATTCTCTATAGCGCCTGATTACAATTCCTACAAAGTCACGTTATATGTTATAATAAGCATTAAAGGGGTCATATGATGCGATTTCAATTTTTGCCAATCACAGCACACCTCGCTTTTTCAGAACGATGAGCTTTGTAAAAATCGACGCGTTTCAGAAAAGCGGGGCATAGAGGAGAAACAATAATGTACAGTATGTGGAAAATAATGTGTTTTTTTAACCTTAAACTGCATAAACACATTTCATTACACCAAATACACAAAATAATGTTCTTTTTAGCAGCATCATATGACCCCTTTAATGTCTGTCTTAAGGCCCGTTCACACCTACAACCATGACTATAACGTTAACTACAGCGTAACTATATTAGTGTCCACATCAATGGACGATAACATTCTGTTTTAACGTTCCGCTTTAAATGCTCAAGCTTTTTAAAGTCAAGTGAATTCTGATTGGCTGCCAATGTTTTTAGCGTTCATCAGCTGTAAAAAAATGTTCTGAAAGTGATTCCAACAACATTGTTTCTCTGTGTCGTTATTGTTATAGAATTAGAATGATAATTAAAACTTTATAGTTGTAGTTATCCTTGGTGTTAATAGGCCTCTATTTAGCTAAAATACTACATAGCATACAGGTACCCAATTAGCCTGATAGCTTAGCTTGTACACCACGCATTTGCACTTGCCCTACATGTACTCATCACCATCTTACTTCGTACTTATTACATCTTTAATGTAAGAACATGTTAAATTAATTGTTAAATTTCCAAATATTTCACTTACAAAGAGAATGTATAATGATGTTCAAATTATTTGTTTATTATTATTATTATTATCTTCTCTAGTTTGCTTCCTAATTTAGTTAATAAATCTGGAATTGTATATTATGCGTACAAATAATGTTGACTCCTAGAATAATTGCTTTTATTCCTCTTTTTTAAGTTGCTTTGGGTAAAAGCGTCAGCTACATGTAAGTGTATTATTATTAATTAACACTTTATCAAGTTCAAGAAATTACAATATCTTCAGTAGTAAGTATAGTAAGCAATTATATACATATTTTAAATTAATGTAGTTTGTGTATACTTGGTATAACTATTAATTGATAGTTGAAGACCTGATGGAGACATGATTTCAAGGAAGTACCCAATTTGTCACAACACTGGAAAGAGGGGGTTTACGGGTTCCAGTGTTCACCTGAAGCGTCTTACCTGTGATGTAGACGTACACAGAGGCCTGTTTGCGATGCTTTTGGCGGTACCTGCAGCGATAAGAGCCAGTGTGTTGAGCTAAAGAAGGACTGAGAATCAGGCGGCTGCAGTAATGGTTATTTTTCTTCCCGCATCGAGTCTCTTCTATCTGGGTGCCGTGGAAGACTTTCGGGACGCCTGATGGCAAAACCCACTGGAGCTCCCACCGTCCCCTGAAACATTAAGTTTTGATTATACAAGGAACTTTATACCTAATGGTCCAAGAACATCACGTCACTGTTTCAGTGATCAACATATAATGGGGTCCAAATATTTGAGACCACTTATGAAAATGTTTCTATTTTGCATTTTACTAATTAAAGGCATTGAAGCTTTACTAGCATAGAATGTGAGGTCAGATCAGTCATCTTGATTTATGGTTGACTTATTTGTTTTTTGGTATTTAGTTTTGCTTTAATGACAGCATCACGCAAAGTGCATGAAAAAGTTTTTATAAAATCTGATAATCATGTATCAGCATGATTTGAAAGACTCTTGTGTATAAGAACCTTTGACCTTTTGTACGAAGGAGCTAATGGTCAAATTAGATTATTGGTTAGTGACCTAAAATAGTGCACAACATTAAATATATAATAAAAGCAAAAAACGTTCTCTTTATTTCAAGGTTTAAATCAAATTATGAATCCCAGATTTTCAGTGTGCTATCAGGATTTTAGACATGACCCAAGGTTTTTCTCCATTTCTGTGACCGATCGAGTTTTGGTTCCTTGCCACTGTCGCCTTTGGCTTGCTTAGTTGGGAACGCTTGACTGATTGCACAGACACCATTGGAAGAGAGCTGAACTGGATGATGACATCACTGAATCAATGAACTGACTTTAACTTGAAAAATTACTGTTTGTTATTGTCCTCTTGCATTACTGACAAACTATTTTCCTGTTATCCACTGTAAAGCTGGTTTGAAACAATCTGTATTGTATAAAGCGCTATACAAATAAAGGTGACTTGACTTGACTATGCATGGCTCATTCTCACCTTTTATGCTTGCATTTTACAATCTCTCACTACAAACTTTTACTTAGTATTTCTACATTCCTCCTGACCAACATCTGTATCACCTCTGTTAATCATAAAGCCATACATGACTCATCCAAAACTTCATGATCCACTTTTAACCACTTTCTCCTCCTTTAACCGTGAGATTGTGTGACACATCACTCACCTGCAGTTTAGCTGAAGTGTCTGATTTCTCTCTATAATAAGCTGCTTTTCAGTAACATCCAACACTGGAGAACTGAACCTCCCTTTTGTGTCTGTGTCTTTAAGACAGAAAGCAGAAAGGCATGTTAGAGGTTGCTGAATAAGAAGTTGTGAAGCTTTAAAGAGTGAAATTAACCACATTTAGGTGATAAGAGTGATAGTCCAATTTACATCAGATATGACTATGCTGCCCAAAGCTATAGAAACAGACCCACAGTTCCTGCTAATACTGTTAGAGTTATATTTTAGGTGTCTCTGAGCACAGCACTGCTTTTTCAAGGCTGTTACTGAGGGGCAGTTGAGTATTGTATTGTTCAGAGGTACTTGAGGATCTGTTTGTACATTACATAGTTTAATTGAATAAAAATCATCAGAAAACATCACATTACTGTGTGGTGTAGAAAAAAAGTAAAAAAATATGACTAATAATAAAAAAAAAAAATACATCCAGTTCTTTTATTAGATATAGATATTTTCTTATCTTTTATAAAAATGTCAGATTCTGAGCAAGTGCAACACTTATTTTAAATTATTTATTTTTATTTTATATATATATATATATATTTTATATATATTATATACAGTATATACATAAATACATGCATACATTTAATTTAATTTATCTGATTAATAAGACAGCATGCCCAATGGAATATAAAATGAACATAACGACTTGGTATTTTGTACTGAATAACAAGCCTACAAATGATTGACCATATTCGCGTGATGCTGTGACATTAATAGCCTATTTAATATGCAGAATCACATGTAGCCTATTGTAAGCACAAATACACTAAATAAAAACAGCGTTTGCATACTTGTTTTTCAGTTCTTTTTGTTGCTTAGAAAAAACACTTAATTGTGGGTTAAGGTGGCACATAATTCAATATGATTTTAAACATTTTGTCTCCATGCAGACGTGACTAGCTATACAATACAGACCGCTCTCACTATTGTTTATTGCTTTTAAAAAGCTAACAGCATCATTTCCTTTCCATTATTCACACTCTATGCGCAGGCCATGTACCGTCTATACATTAAAAAGGTATTGTAGTCAGACCAATGAAAAAAGGAAGTAGGAGTCAAGCACTTTTTCCCACAGCGAGTCCCGCATGGGATCCAAACAGGCTCGTTATCAGCCGGCCCACACGCTGAGGTTCCGTTTCAGAAACTCTCAACAAGTGCGCCTGGCACTAATGACAGGCCAAAAACCTGCCGATTTCAACTGAATAAACGCGAATGAACCAGAGGAAACAAGTTTAAGGCGAAGCGAAGCACGTAGCCTATAGGAAATACATTTTTTAAGAACATGCGCTGAATGTAAAATGTTGAACATAAAAACAAGAAATTGCACGCGCTTTAAAATGATTTTTTTGTTAGAAAATTCCCTGAAATGACTGAAATCAACTACGCATTTACGTAATTGTAGCGCTTATTAATTTAATTCTTCAGTCTTTCATTTGTGTCAACTTAAGTATCCCAAAAAGAAAACAAAAATATAATAGCTATAAAGACTGCTTTGTAAAATTGTTTGTAAAACTACACCCACTGGGAAACTATTAAACATTAAAAAAATTCGCAGTCTAGGTCATGTACGTGCTATTCTAAATGATTAAAGTACAGGACCGAGCAAACATTTTAAAGCTCTACAAAGATATTTGTATTCTTTCGTTCTTCAGAAGCCATCTGTGCACTAGTGCTTTAACATTGATCTCCAAGAACAATAAAGTCAATCCAAGAACTACAAGGAAACTCTTTTTTTTATAAGAAGGTTCTTCGCTGAACCCATAAGGTGCTGCAAATGAACTAAACGAAAACAGCGCATTTAAAAATGCACTTAATATTATAATTATTATTTGCATAAATGCGTTTATTTAATTTTTAAATAATGAATTTGCCTAGTTTTGTTACTTTTTTTTAACAGTGAACTTGTTTTATTAGTGCATTTAGCTTGTTTGTAGACTATAATTTTTTTGAATCTTTCAACACAACATTTTACAAATAATTTTTCCCACATAGGCTAACTGTATGCTTTTGAGCACGCAGATGCACATATGCTTAAAACACGTTTGGCCTTTAATCAATTTTAAGTTTTTTCCATCCTGTGATGTGAGTGGTGACTTGTTAACCATAAAGCACTAATCATCACGCACTGCGGACAGTACATCACTTCACCCCTGCATCCTCCCCTTGGGTCTGTTTTAGCTATAACACTCTGATTAGCGCTGGTTCCTGCCTCACGGTGGTCATGACCCCGAAGTCATTTATATTAGAACGTCCATTTCACAGTCATCAGGCTCAGGAAATAACGCCCTCTCTCTGATTCAACCAGGGCCAAACATTAAAGACGGATGTCAAGTAAGAGCAGAGAGGTCTCTACTATAAAAACAACTTGTCCTGCTAAGGCAGGCCGATTTAGCATTTATTTCTTAAAACTAATGTCTGTTTTTATATTAGTACTTATTTTTATTATTAATAAACAATTATATTTGTACATTATTGTATCTCTGTAACTGTACGCATTTTGTCTATCGTCCACATAACTTATTTTGTCTGTAGTGAATTGTTATATGCATTTTTATTGTATATTTATTTTCTTCTTACTTTTATTTTATTAATATCATCTGTGCCGCCTCGATTTTTATTTTATTTATTTATTTATTTGTGAGCACAGGAAGTTTCTGTCACCAGAAGAATTTCCTTGCGTGTATAAATATTCTTGCCAATAAAGTTCATTCTGTTTCTTTTCAATTGCACTACTTCATTAAATAATATTACCAGATCATTAGATTATAGCATTCCTAATCACTAGTTACAAGTAACTATTTATTTTTTTCTGTAACAATGTGTAATTTTTTGCAATAAAATTTTATAGGATAGGAGTTATCAACCATACTTTTCAGACAAGTAACTATATTAGTAACTATAGGACTATAGTGATTAATTGTAAAGTCTATTAATCGCATAGTTTGATTCAGTTCGAGTAATAAAAACGAATATGCTAATAGCAACAAAAATATATAATAGTTCGTTTTAAATTATCTATGTAAATGTTAAACAGGCTTGCCACAGTCTTGGAAAAACTAATTGTAGCACATCTAGCGCGTAATTTACGTTCGTTTAGCGCGTAATTTTGCTTTTCTGCAGTGCGCATTATACCAATTGGGCATGAATACCAAAACATATATATAAAAAAAACGCGAACAAGTTAATATGTTCATTCAAAGTTAATGGATGTCTTCTCATCATGAAATGCAAACGATGCGCTGGGACTGAGCCACACTCACACGAATGAAAACTGATATTCTATGATACAAATAAAGTGCAATTTACCTTTAGTCAGAACACGCCCTGACAATCCAAATATCATCACAAATAATATATCGAACATTCTCTTGGTCTTGCTTGAGGTCCTTTGCTTGGAGATGAACACCTATGAAGGAAAGACTGCAGATCCAATACTCCAGAGAATCAATTCACCTTACAACACCAAACTCCTCAAACCCTGCTTTCACATGAACTACAATCAATCGTCCGGAGTATATGAACTCTTGAAGCGGGAGGACCACGCATGAATTCCAGTTAAACTCTTGCCCATTATGACCGCGGGCTGGGATTTATTCATTTCCCACTGCCACCGGAGCTTCCGTGACGCTCATCGACACACCCATCCCGCGCGACTGACGTGACCTACAAGGGCCCGATGTACTGCACCGCTCCTGTGTCTCTCCTCCACTTCATCAATCATGTCATGAATAAACAAGCTTATTGCTGTAAATCCAACACTGTCTGAAGTCATCCCCCCCTTGCAATCCTTAAAAGAGGAGTACATCCACGAGGGGAAACAACTGAGGTTTCTTTCAGAGAGACTAGGAGTGAGGAAAAAGAGATACTAGTGAAGATCAATTGAAATTTTGGTTGTGCAGCTTGAACATTAACAGTGCAAAATATATGAAGTTAATCAAAATGAATAGAAAAGTCAGCAATTAACAGAAAAGAACAGAGGAAATTTGTATTATTTTATTTATCTCAGTTATATTTCTTTGAAGTCGCAGATGTTTCTCCTAAAATTCCGCTGGAGAAATAAAAATGGACACAAATGAGAAAACTGATGTCATACACAAAGAGTAAATTCATGTGGATAGTATAGCTCAGAATCTGATGAGAAATGTTTAAGAACATTGAAATCTCTCATTTTAAATCAATGTGAAAATTTGAGCACAGTTGTCAAGATGAAACATTGTCAAGATCTCTTGAAAATCTCAGGGGAAGGAGAGCATAATTCAGTATTTTTCTCAGAAGAAAAGGCTCTTGAAAAAGAGAAAAAATTCAATTTGAGCAATTAATATTATGGCTGTCTAGGAGAAACAATTGAGACTCATTTGTGAGTTTTCGTACCATATTACATATATATAACAATGATTATATTCACATTAACTCAGAAAGAAACAAGTAAGAAACATTCAGGCATTGCACTTAATTGAAACATGCAAGTACATTTAAAAAAAAAAATCACAGAGTGGAAGTAATGTAGCACCTCTTTTTAATATAGCTCTATTTTTCATATGCCTAATATAAAGTATCAACATTTGCTCAGTTTTGACATTTACATCTGGTTTTCGGGTATACAGATATAATATGTGCGTAACTACAGAAGTACCGAGTAAGATGTAATGTCAAATCAGGACCAGTAGAGAGAGTCTTAGGGGCTGCCAATGCTTTCTCCCAATGAAGGAGAAGCCAATAATCATTTGTGATAACAAAAACCCAATAAAAACATACAAAACAGTAACAATAATGACTAAAAATCACGTTGGTCATAATTTCAGACATGCAATCAATTTCACAGTTGGACATATTTGAAACGGACCATGAAGTGGAGGGTTTATATCATTCTTAAAGGATGAAAATATAAAAATGATTCCATTAACATGAATAAATGAATGAAAACTAATATTTAGCCACTGTAAGCAAATAACACAAATCTTACCAAGAGAACTCTTTCCACTGCAAATAATCTCCTCAATCTTTACACTAGTAGTCCACTGTCGAGGCTTTATAGAGTACAGTTGGTTTGTAGGTGGTTCTTATGACTTTGGGGCATAAAGAATAACAGAGGGGAGTGAAGCTGCTGGCAGACCGTGGGTAGAAGTTTCAAACGCTGAGCAAGAGGAATTGGTGGGAAATTGCTTCCGATGCAGAGGTGTTGAGGTTTGCTATGTGTCTGGGCACCATGAGAGCTGGGCCGGTGCACCTCGATCACATGCAACTGAGTGTGGGCCAATAACCCGTTCTCTGGTGTAAATATATGCGTGCGTGTGTAAGTCACACCTGGCCTTTCGTCTGCTGGTGAATCCAGTCTGTGAACTTTATGACACGTGTGTAAACTCCAGGCCGGTTCTGTCTGGCGCAGCCCTCACCCCAGCTCACAATGCCTGCTAGAAACCACCTCCGGCCCCGTTCCAGACACACTAAAGGTCCCCCAGAGTCTCCCTGTGCGAACATAGATGTGAATATATGAACGGTGAACACTGACAAGCAGTGAACACAAAAGCACACACTAACCTGACAAGCATCCACTCCTCCCTGAATGTTTCCGGCGCAAAGCATTCTGGGAGTGACAGCATCGTCATACATTTTATTACAAGTGTTGTGACTGATGATGCTAACGGTGGCCTCTTGCAGCAATGTGGCCAGTTCACCTGAAATCAGGAGGTTTTCATTTAAAACAATGCATTTAATGGCATGAAATGGTGTTTGTAACAGATTTTCCTTGTTTAATCTGACATATTTCTAAAACACTTCTGCTGATATAAAAATACTTAAAATATAAAAATAAATTAATTTCTTATTAGTCAGGCATGCATTTTATAATCATTTAGCTCCCTAGCAAATATAAGTATATTTCTTGCAGTTTCCATCCACCACTTTAGAAGTCTACCCAACTATGATGGGTAGCATATCTTAACGTGTGACTTTGCCATTTTGATGGGGATCCTGGGGAATTTTCAGTGGGTGTGGTCAAAGATGATTTCTTTAGAATGCGTTTTTCTCATCTTTAGTCATCGTATGAATCATGTGTTTCAAGACAGTGTTGCTAATGTTGCCTTGCTTCAGCTCAACAAGAAGTAATTGTTTGTTCTGAATGAGTTTCTACAATGTGCTGTACCTTCTTCCGACAGAACCCCCCATCCAGTGACAAAGCAGCTGGTTCCGGAGGTGAAGGCGTGAGAGGGGGCAGGAACACAGATGGGCTGTACCAACTCATTGAAAAAGACAGGGGCGCTTAGTTCTAAAAGGGCGATGTCATAGTCGGAGGTGAATTGGTCATATTGCGAATGCAAGACAATGCGGCGGATTTGTCTGGTGGCTGCTGCATTGCTGACCGAGTTCATTACTCGCATGCCCATGTAGGCCCTCCATGATCGTGCATCAGAATACCTGCCAAAGAATGAGAAAACACTTTATACCTGGAGCGTCACACATTTAGGAGTCCTAGTGACAACAGGCTTACATAGCCTACAACATTAAGGAATAAAATAAAATACTATTTTCTATCTGAATATATTTTAAAATGTAATTTATTCATGTGATGCCAAAGCTGAATTTTCAGTAGTCATTACTCCAGTCTTCAGTGTCACAAAATCCTTTTCTTTTCAGGATTCTTTGATGAATAAAAAAAGTTTAAAAGAGCAGCATTTATCTGAAATAGAAATCTTTACTATTACTTATCACAATGTAACGTGTCCTTGCTGAATAAATGTACTAATATCTAATACTGACCCCAAACTTTTGAACAAAAGTTAATGTCCCTGAATAAAACCTCACTTGATTGCATCGGAGTCCTGAAAACAGTGAGCTGCAGAGACGAGCCAGCGGCTGGCCACCAGAGATGCCCCGCACACATGACCATAGCGCTCCATTTGAAGGCTGACCTGCCACGGCCATGAGCCTGCCTGGGCATCTGTTCCACCCACAATCTTTGCCCTCTTCCTGGGCCTTGTGCCACAACCTACATGCACAGCATGACATTTGTAGGATTTGTTATGCACGCAAAGAATCTTGCTTGCATGAAAAATCTAACCACCTATAATAATAAACTGAAGTCATTTGTAATTCTATGAGAATGCTCACTACAGCGCAACTCATCTGAACCATCTTTGCAGTCTTTAATGCCGTCACACTCCGGGTTGATCTTACTCAAACACTTTCCACTGGCACATTTGAAGGAGGAAGGAGAGCATCCTTTTGAAACTGCAATGATCAGAGAGACAGAATATTCTGCATCACTGATAAAATTAAAGAACTAGAGGACATATGATCATTAATGACATATGATCTTTTTGATTGTGTCATTGTACATTTGTGTTTGTTATGAATGTGTTCATATTGAAATCCATGTGGCTTGATTGCCCAAATATGTTTTTGGGCCAGTAAGCATGGAAAGATGACGAAACAGAGCGGAACTGTTAGGTAAAGTGGATTTTACTCACATGCTCTTGTGCAGTTGAGTTCATCGCTACGGTCTTTGCAGTCCACAATCCCATCACACACTGAGGCTTTGGGGAGGCAGATTTTGTTTGAGCACATATGGTAGCATTTACCTCCTAAAAAAAGGGCAAATTGAACACACACACAAAAAAAAGAGCTTGACAAACATAAAAGTTGTTGGTCACATGTACCATTGCTTGGCGAAATTTCGCAGGCAGAATAGTCATTTCAATAGGAATTCGCAAATGGGAGTTTCGAGTTAAAAGTTCCACACACAGATTTCGCTCATGTTCAAGTTAGTCAAGCAACTTCGCCTCATTGAGCAGCAGAAAGCTACTTAATTTGAAAGTGACTCATGTGTGAGCAGTGCTTTATTCATCTCTACGCTATTGACAATGAACCTGTTCTTGCACACAAATTTTCGCTAATGTGACCACACATATATTCCATACACACATATACACACACACACACACACACACACACACACACACACACACACACACAAACACACCAAAACATAGGCAGGTCTTACCACAAACTCTCTCCACACATCTGTAGCAATGAAAATAGACACCTCTGAGTATCAGTGAATCCAGGAAGAGAGGAATTATGCATGCTGAAGTATTAAATCTTCTTAAGGATTAAAAAAAAGACATTCTTACCACAGTTATTCTCTTCACTGCTGTCACCACATGCGGTGTTACACTGGCTGTGTGGTCTGCACTGACCCATACAATAAACTTCTCCTGGTTTACACGTGTCTAATAACAGTAGAACAGGGTTAAATAAGACAACAATGTTTGGCTGAAAAGAATGTATGGGAAATCTAACTCATGCACTTACTGCATTTGGCCTCATCTCGTCCATCAGAACAGTCTTTTTCTCCATCACACACTTTCCTCAGAGGAATACACTTGCCATCTCCACAGCGGAACTGCCTCGGACATGCTAATATGGGAGAATAAGCATGAGCTTTGCTTACTGGAGTGTATATTTGTGCTCTGATTCAATCAGCTTATAATTCTTCATAAAAAATTGATAAAAAAAGAAAAAGTGCATAAATTGACCTAATTAAATTAG